GAAAAAATAATCCATATGATTAAACACAAACACGTTATTACTTCCACTCTTTTACAAGGGCTTGAAATCCCTATCCAGGGCTCATTGTTGGAATAATATACACAACAAAAAAATTAATGAAAAAGAAGAAATTGAAAGACATTTTTATAAGTTTGTGCAACACTCATAATAATTCATACCAATTATATATAATTCAAAATAGTAATTATAGTAAGCTGTTTTTGGATACACAAGAAAACATCCAGAAAATCTGTACAGTCCTCTTATTTTAAAAATAGTTCTCCTTGTTCTGAAACATTATAAAAAAGTAAATTCCTGTTTTATTCCTTTGTTGTTGTTTTTTATTGGTTACATAGGCATTTAATAGATGCATGTCATTTTAAATCGGTTACTGTTTTTAATGAGAGCTATTTTTAAATTTGAAATGGTCAGATACTGAAATTTGACTAGTTGATAATTTTTGTAACTGCAAAATTTATCAAAACAGTCTGTTGATGTCTATGATAGGGAAATTTGATCAAAAGTGAATCTGAAATTGGTAAGAGATCAAGGTATTACTCTGTACTCATAATGAGTATTAAAACTGGTTTGGTACAAATCAACAGCATATTCTACCACACCCTGTATTTTCAGTAACTTAATTATCATGTTGTAGACAGAAAGTGGATGGGTGCCTGCAGTTTATTTTTCGTTCCACCTAAGATGGTCATCAACCTAACGTGTTCTAAATTTCTAATTGTGAAGCCATGCAAAGATCAGCACAACGTTGTCGAATCAATTACCAAATACAAGCTAACCATGACTGAATTTCAACGTTTTCATATACACACATTGATATGACAGTCGCCTGTAGCATGTCTTTGGTTTGCGCTAAGCAATAAGTCAAATATTTAGAATAAAAGATCACGATTATTGTAACCCCAATAWGCTGTTTTTCCGGTATTTCTTACAAGAATGAAACCAAACATGCAAAATATTCTTAATACAAAATTAAAAAAGACGCRGAGCCATCGCGATTGCCGTCAATTCACTAGGGTCAAGTGCCATTCGTTGCACTAGATGAAGAAGAGTAACCTACCTTTCAAAAGCTACCCGTAGTATTATAAGCAAGACGGCCACTGGCAGGCACATATAAAGTTCACCAGCTTGGATGAACTTAGGATTCTTTTTATCTTGAATATCTTGCCATGTGTAGTTTTCTGGGAGCCAAAAACGCTCCGACCAAAACCAATCTTGAAAGCTTTTGTACAACGCCGCCATGATTCGGAGTCACATTACTCCTTACCCAGAAGTCTGTGCGTTTGACCGTGTGGGGGTGTGTKRARGYAAGGACGCTCGAAGACAGCTGAGMGTACTAAATAGSCTCTAATAGCTTCATAGAAAAGTYATTTTCGAAGTAACTAAAAGGTAAATTGTCTACTAGTATTCACAAAAGAGGCATCGAGTGATTGATAGTTTGATGGATAATTTGATATGTCTAGTATCTGTAGAATATCAAAATAATTTTTGGACTGGACTGGACTGGATAACAAATACTGCTACAGTTCCGCTTTTTTGGCGTACCAGGCCAATATTCAAACGAAATAATATGCGTATTCGAGYGAATTATCAAAACCTCATTTGTGTCACGCCAGCATATCGCGTGTTCCGTGAAGCTCAGTTTGCATTACTTCAACAGTGAAGTCCTTCAATTCTATTCAGAACTATGCCGAATCCTCTACTAGCAGTGCCGAAACATTTACACACGTTTACAGGGATATGCTTTACATGTGCGCTGAATTGATTACCCACCGTTTATGCATTGCGATATACTCACTGAATTCTAATCTCATTTTTATTCACTTTTTGAAAGTGACACTGATGACAGCTGTCGTCACTCAATTAAAACAATATATACAATAACAGAAGCGACTGGGAAGGAGGATTGRAGACAATCACCCGAACAGGCGACTTTACTTGTAGTACCGCAACATCGCCACAACTCCGCCACAGGCGACTTTAGTTGACAGACAAAGCGACTTGTTTAAACCAATAGAATATTGTGTTTTATTCGGACAATTATACTGCAATATAATAGCAAATGACCAAACAAAGAGTCTTTGGGTGGTAACGTACTTCGCCCCTTCACCGCAAATCAAGCCACGTCCTAGATGTACGACATTGAGAAGAGTGTGGGGAACGCAGAGTAGGAGAAGGAGAAAAGTTTTTGGGATGAATAAATTACAATAAAAAAGATAGTTAGTGGGAGAGGCAGGGACATTAGTTTGGGAGAAATATCCCAGGAATACCTTTGTAAGCGATGAGGGAGAAATGGTTGAAAAAGTTATGGGATGTGGGAGGGAGAAATGGTTGAMAAAGTTATGGGATGTGGGAGAATTCAAGTCTGTTCGTCTCACTGTCTAGCTAATAGAGCCCTAATAGTATGATTCAATTTTTACAAGCGTCGAAAAAAATGCGAAATAATTTTGGCTATGAACAATAATTCACAAGTGTGAACACGTAATTATCATAGATATAGCAAATATAACTTTTTTAGTGTCATTTATAATTAAATATAGTCTCTGGAAATATGTGTTTGATTCTGGYTATCTAATAATCTCTCGTAATAATTTGAGATACAGCTGTATTGGTAAATGTGTAGCTAGTCTAYCTAATGCTCAATATATAACATACGCTCAATAAACTGTTAATGAAGGTTAGATTTGAGCTCAATCCTTTTAGCAAGGTTGTCTTCTGTTTTGAAGGTTTCCCTTATTTCGTCGAGATTTCCTGGAACGAGCTGTGACACTCCTGTGGTTGTTTCCACGGCAACGAGGCTTTTTCTTTTGCAAAATGTTCTTGAAATATCGACGTATCGCTTCGTTTTCCTTTCCTCTTTTGGGAACGTTTCGATGATAGTGATTTCCATGCCTCACTAGTTTGTTTGATTTTTGTTTTTTCTTGTTCGATTTTTTCTTGTTTCTTCTCCGATTTTTCTTTTTGTTCCTGCTCCTGATCTCGTGATAGTGGTTTCTATGGCGACGGCGATCATACTTCTTTTTCCTGCTGACACGACCAAGTCGTTTGCGTTGAACCTTTGAGTTGTGTTTGCGTCTGTAGGTACGTTGCTGAATTCTACGATTTTTATTGCGTCGTTTGGAGCTTTTGCGCCTCTTTCCTCGCAAAGATTTTCTTCCTGAAGTAACCAATACAAAAAATTTTATACCCTCTATATTTCTATGCATTTATCAAAACCCATCAAMAACGTTTGAATTTGAGCTCAAATGTACAGTGCTGAAATGAAGAAAATGATGAATCAAAAATCAGCAGCCCCATTTTGTTACTATATTTCCATACTYGCTTAGCATAAATACAACTGACTGCTGCAACTTTCAGTACGTAAATAAAGTTACCTTTCTTTCTTTTSTTCTTCTTTCCAAGATTGATAACAATTTCAAAGACCAATTTTGAACGTGGTGTTCGTTTTAGCGTCTTTAACGAGTTGCCCAAATCACTTTCCTTCATCGTAAGTGCATCATTTTCTTCATTCTCTGTCAGTATAGATGTTGCTTCAGCACGTTGRGAATCTAGGTACACTGCACCGGCGATGACTAGAATACTTATCATGAGAACTGGATGCTCCATAATTACGTCTTCCCTGATTATAAGAAAGAATACATAATTATCTTAGTCCTAGGATCTTTTATAAAATATGTCATTTGTAATGATTTCGCTAAAGCTTTCGGCTGACATACTGATCCTTTGACACTGAGAATAACGAATAAAATAAGCAAACTATCTATAGTCTAATAGTGCATCAGTCAACTGAAACTCCGGTTCCCAAACCCCCAGGGGGGCCGGGGAATTAACACATTATAGCCGGGGATTTAACAGCATAATTAATGGTAAGGCAGGGAAATCGACGYCTAAATCAAAGGAAATGATCAGTTTGGCCGACATGTTGGGTCTCTAGGAGCCTGGAAATACAGTGACTTGAATATTGTTTCAATGTTAATTACCCTGGTATCAGGCCCCGTTTTTTTTTTTTTTTTTTTTTTTTTTTGGGGGGGGGGGGGGAGTCAATTGGCTGATGCATAAAGCAGGTTATCGTTCTGGGAGAGATTTTTAAATATCATCATATAGGATCCGTATATAAAATAAAAAGTTGTTGAAACTAGAAGCAGATGATATTCATAGGCTATCGAGCTCAAGCGGCTGCAGCCACTTTTACTATGCAACTATTGTGGCTGCGTTACAGCTTTACTGATTTTGAGTTGAGTATTAATCTATGTTTATGCATGTTGGTGCACGCGTAAAATAAAACTGATCGATCGATGATCTTAATCCTCCATAGAAAATTGATATGTCATACATAAGTATACTTTAACGTTTAGTGTCTTTAGTGAAGGTTCACTGGCAGTAATCCAGCTTATATATAATTAAAGGAAAAAATTAAAAAGTACTGCCAGTATTTAAAAAATTGAATGGTGTTATAACTTCTAGATGATATTTTCCCAATGGAAAACAATCACATTTCAATATAATTCGTTATCGCAACCATGGGCATTCAACATTTTTCTTCATATTTGACCAAGTCAGTTTTGCGACATAAATGGACTTTACTTGGGCGTTCATTGAGGAGACATGAAAAAACTTGCATTAGACTTAGTCATTCATATTACATCGGAGTAGCCTTTACTTTTCCAATTTTGGGYCATGTATTTCCCGTTTCTTATTRKTTTGCACATGGGAAGATTAGAGMGCGTAACACGCGATGGATTATAGAATCAGTAAGAGCAATGCGAGGGTCGAAGGAAAAGGGACTCCTGCCTACCAGCTCACTATGGCGTCTCACAAAAACAAAACACACAGTCACGATACATCAWTTTGTTGCTCTTTATCAATAAACAACAGTAACATAGAAAGGAAAAATGGAGTAGTTTCATAAACCTGTGAAACAAATTGCCGTTAYTGATTTGAGGAGCGTGAACAGTGCATTGCCATAAACAAACGGATTAGGATCAGAGTATAAGATCAGAATATATGGTATTAGAGTATAATGTGATATTGAGAATGGTTTATAAAACGGATAAACCCGTGAAATATATATATAAAACGTATTATTACACTTACTGTTCTTTTTGTGATTTATTGGTGTTTGTTAGTATTCTAATTATTATGATGAATTGTAATAGCAATTTTTAGCCAAAGAACATAAACGCTCAAAAGTGTTATTTTACGAAATCGGACAAAGCATATCATACTATAATCTGTTGCAATTCGTTACACTTAATTAATGTAGAATACTTTGCTTCAAGGATTTTCGAAAGTCCTCAAAATCATAGAGACTACTGAATGCTCAGACACTAAGATAGTTTCAATGATGATCAATTAATGGTTTTCAAATCCACTTTATATAATACTATTTCACGGAGCTTTACACAGCTTTAAAACAATACTTACTAGATCTACTTACTATTGTTTTGTCGTTGTAGYTATCCGGGTCTTGCAAACATGAACCAACTGACACTTAAGCTAGGGCAGCTATAATGAATATGATCCTTTACAAAAGGCCTTATAAAAGTATCAGTCACAGCAATAGGTCTACGTCCAACCAAGAATCGGCATGGATTATATGGAAGTCTATCCGCACCGTATATTGTTTCCATATTTTGTATTCCGGGATTGTGGCTTGCGGAGAGTTAAATCCCATAACTTTAAATTTAGRGGAACACACAAATAGAAAAACACTTAATGGCAAAAGGAGCTTCCGTCAACGGGAAATTTACATTCGGGGTCTGGACTAACAACACGATTCGGGGGCCTTGGGAGGTGCCTTGGGCGTTACTTGTGGTTCATTTATGGCTTACATACCATAAAATAGAACCAGTCAGACCACATARGTAAAGATAGTAAATTTGATTGGGGATTTGAACARGCTAAGAATCAATTCATGGTTCCGACAAATCAAGCGCGAGCGTGCGATTAGCCAATCAGAAGAAAGCGCGTGAATCGACAAGCAGAGACAAGTATTTTRGTAYATTGATKAAATAGTCCAAATCAAACTCAAACTTTTGTAAATCGGCAACATCATCAAAAGCTATGGGATTATCGATGCCAACTGGAATAAATGTCTCTGGAAATGGGATAACAAGKGATAAAAGTTTGTACTCCAGAACGGTAGCCTYGTTCCCAGGACCTTATGTCCGTCTGGAAACGAGGTTGCCAGATCGGGACACACAGTTTTCAATAGTCCGGATAGCGGGGCGGGAAAGAGCCTATTTTGAGTGAAATTCATAGTCTTCTGATAACAAATTTTGAAATATTCCTCTGCGCCTCAAGCGCGCAAATGGCTTTCAGCACAATATTATTTCATAGTCCCAATTCCGTTCGTGCACTCTTCCGTGAAAACCTTACCCTCCTACGCAGAGCAGTGAATAGTTGGGCTCACTTTGGCGAGATGCAGGGAGACTAAARACTAGAGAARAAAGAGGAGGTGTTTCCTTCACCCTCCCCTCCYACATTCGTCTTTTGTATATTCTGTGGAGKCCRTGTWCAATTTCGGTGACACCCGAGAACAAAACCACTTCATAGCCACTTGAAGCAAACGTCAAAGAAATGACAGYAATCATGATCAGTACGTTTGACCTATAGAAGCGAACGATGGCTAATAAGTCAAGATTGGTATCATTGCCTAACTCAGTCTGATCTGTGATCTGTTTGAAACAGAACACACTACAGTCTTGTGTTACTCTGAYTCGTATAGCTAGATTTGTTGTCAGAAAAAGATATTGAAGCAAAGCAAGAAGAAGAACATAAACAAAGAGTATTAAGTTTAATAATCATATTTGAATCATTTTTGTTTACACCAAGATGAAAATTGTCTTTAAAACCATTGCAGCAGTCTTGATTCTAATCAAAACCGGTAAGTAAGCTTACTTAGTAGAAAACCTCCTTCAGCAAAAACGCACTTCTATTTCTTGTGCGTGTTCAGTAGCGGTCAGACACTAGCTAGCCTGCGTACATCCASATGCTGGATGAAACTCAGGCTAGGCAGTAGCGTTAGTTAAATTCAATTGTGAAAAAAGCTTGCACTTGACTTGTTCGAATGGAGTTYAACTATAACWTTGCAAAGATTGGCTGGGAAYCGTGGAATAAGTTAATTATTTGGCGCGATTTTTGAAGGCGCGCGCGCGTCTGACCCTAGACTTATTCTTTGGCGCCAAAAGTAATCAAGCACTGGACAGAAAATTTTCTTAGAAAAGACAATATTTTTGACAGTCTGATTTCCGTCTTT